CGATTTAATTAGCGAATGAAATTTCGGATTTTCAGACGACAACGTTCCGAGTATAGAGTTGAACTACAGAGTGGTCAGAAAGTCCTGTCACCCCTTATAAAAAAAGCAAGGCAGGAGTGACACTAACACGCAAGGGGTTACAGAGAGTTAGACTAAGAGTAAAGAGGAGTGTTTGGGGGAAAAAGGATACAGAGAGAAGGACGGGCATCAAGGTCAAGGCATCAGAAGATGGCGATTGACATTACATTTGAATATTTGAAGATTATAGCTATCTGGTTTGTAGTTAAAAGGAAGGGAGTTCCGCTGACGGGAGGTGCTAGATAAGAAGATGTTGTAGTAGAAGCGAGGCTGCATTTAGTCGTTTCGACAGTCAAAGGGTTCAAGTAACACAGTAACTCAACTGCATTCGGTTTATTCACTTTCATTGACGCTGCCACCCACCGAGAAGGCCGCTTTCCAATTCTATTATTTAAGGGTGCCAAGACGTTCGACGACCCAGAAGATGTTAACCGGAAACCCAAACACTGAACAAGAAACCTTTAATCCAATTAAAAAGACCAGGAAGGAGTGGGAACTGGGCGATAGGCAAACTTATCTACTCATATTTGGAGAAGAAAAAAATAATAATTGCTGAATAAAATGTCAGATTTCAGGTGGAGACGTCAAAAGTGTCGTAGCGGATTGATATTGCGGACTCATGTTGAGTCCAACCGAAGATGTGTGAAAAACAACAAGACCGATATATATATATATATATATATATATATATATATATATATATACTTATTATAAAACCCAGGTTGTGTGTGTGTGTGTGTGTTCGTTTATATATGGGATCGGATTTCCTACATTTTTCAACCGATTTCAACAAAACTTCACAGGATTACGTAAAATTACCTTGCGGTGGTTCTGACAGCGCCAAAAAATTGGAAAAACGCAATTGTTTTTGCACGAAATCAATTTGAAAACACGATTAAGAGGCATCGCGAGAATGAAAGGGGGACAACTTATATCGAGTTACACTTATTATAAAACCCAGGTTGTTTGTGTGTGTGTGTGTGTTCGTTTATATATGGGATCGGATTTCCTACATTTTTCAACCGATTTCAACAAAACTTCACTTTTTTTTTTTGGCATGTAGTGTTTCTTATTGTCTTGGTGACACTTTTTCTTTTTATTTTTACATTCAGAATGCTTTAAACATTCCATTTACAAGACAATTGTTTATAATAAAATTCTATTCAAAAATCTATTTCCATACCTGAGGATGTCTGTAGGAACAGACGAAAGCTTGTAAAAATTAAAAAGACCTTATGCAACTGGAATTTATAAACAGGGATCATATCATTCATATACAGGTTCGGGGTTAGTGTACCTTATTGAAATTGTTTGCGAAGATATATTCTCGCCATTTAAATCATTAACCTCTATATTTGTTTTTTGTATGAATGATTCATGAATATATATATATATATATATATATAGATAGATAGATAGATAGATAGATAGATAGATATTATTAGGAGAATTTAATAATTATATTTAAGTAATTCATTGAGTCTGAGACTCGATGAATTAATTAAATATAATTATCAAATCCTCCTAATAATTTCTATCTGTGTATCCCATGCTTGAAGCGGCTTCTAATGCTCTAGAGTGAGCGGTTTGGTGATAGTAGTCGTGGCCCCTGGGGGCACAGTCCTATGGATAGAGGGAATCTCAGTTGAGTTCCACCACGGAATATGTGAGCGAGCGGCGCTATATTGAGTCTGATTTTCATCGAGGGCCGGTATGATGTTTGCTTGACAACCTAACTGTCAGGGTTTCAATTCTCGGCAGTGGATGCGCACTGCTGATGAGTCCGAAATATAGGACGAAACGGCTGTCCAGTGCTTTCTGCATTCTGTTGAGGTTTCTTTCAGACTCGATGAATTACTTATATATATATATATATATATATATATTCAGTCCGAATTGGCTTACTGTACTGTCCAGTTCGCACTCTCCATTTCATTTGAGGGCACTTGAGTCTCTGTATATTCGGTCCAGGGCCGTCTTTTTTAAGCAAAGAGACTGTCTCCTTGGGCTTCACGTTATTACACTCTGTTTGTCTATCATACATTCCCCTCACACTCCCCGTTATAATTTTTTTACCCTTGTACTGTGCATATTCTTTTGGTTTAAAATATATATATATATATATTTTTTCCCCTCATACCATTAATCATTTCATTCTTTAATGTTTTAATTGTATGTAGGGTGTTTTTTTGTGAGTCAATATATATTGCAATAATTGTTAAATTGTTCCCAGTCGACCCTGATGAGCTTGGGAACGAAACCGGTTGGTCTGTTCTGTAAGTGTTACCATCTCTTATTTTTTATTTTTCATAATGCCTTTAGGAAATAATTTGTATCTATTCCTTGCAATATTACGGTTTTGTACCTCTAACAATTTATTTAAATATATATATATATATATATATATATATATCTCCTCCAGCTATGGGTAGAATAGTAGGACAGACTGGGTTCTATAGCCTTGGATGGCAACTGGTTTAGGAGAAGGACAACTCTGAATTCAAAACCTGCGGAGGGTCGTTTGAGAACCTTGTGGCATTCGTTGCACCAGGTCTCCGTATTCGTCCCTTCAAAAAGTGTGGATGGTCCTGCACGAGGCCTTCACCCCTATAATCAAATCTCATGTGCCTGTGTCATAGGCTGTCGGCTTCCTAGAAACTGATCTGCTTGACCCTCATACGTCGAATCTCGACGGGAGAGTCGATTATATATATATATATATATATATATATATATATATATATATATATATATATATGAATCATTCATGCAAAAAACAGATTTGATTAACAGTGAAGTTAATGATATAAATGGCGAGAATACATCTTCGCAAACAAATTTATTAAAATTACATTAACCCATGAGACTCCAGATGAAAGTTATGATCCCTGTTTTAATAAATTCAACTTGTATAAGGTATTTTTTTGCTGTACATTCATCTGTTCATACAGACATCATCAGGCATGGAAATCAATTTGTTTTGTTTTTTTGTTTTTCTTATAATACATCCAAGTAATAACGGGACAAGGAAAAATTAGATGTGAGTCGAAATATGTTTTTTTATAGAAATGTGTAACTGTCGCCACGCTAAGGTTGAATTTTTTTGAAAATTTTAAAAGAGAGTGCATTTTCTTTTACTCATATGGTAATTGGAGAATTCTTTTGTTGTAGTATTTTTTTTTTCAGTCGATGTGGCATGAACTATATATATATATATATATATACATACATACATATACATACATACATATATATATATATATATATATATATATATATATATATATCAATACATACATATATATATATATATATATATATATATATATATATATATATATATATATATATATATATATATATATATATATATATATATATATATATATAGTGGTTCCGCAAATATACACATACATATGCAAAATATATAGATATATATACATAGGTGCATAAACATACATGTATATTTTTTTGAATAAAAATTCTGAGAGGGTAGAATCCAGGTAGAACTCAATGTCCAGGACAGAACATAAGGATATAATACATATATATATATATATATATATATATATATATATATATATATATATATATATATATATATTTTAAAATATATGGATATCGATCCGACAGTATGAAGAAAAATATATACGGAAAAAAACAAACAAAAATCCTTATATACAATTATGCTGTTCTAATGTTAATATGTAAACGTCGGACGTTTTTCGGTCTAATAAACCATCTTCAGGATATGTTTTTAAACGGAGCGCTGATCTTATAAAACTTTCAGTTATCTGTTTAGATAAGTCTTGTTCTTATGTACATCGTCTTTGTCATGTTGTATTGTTAATGTTATAATTTAAGAATAAGATGAGGACAATAGCCCAAATAATGTAAATAGTGTACATAATACCTCATCTCAGAAATATAGACAGATACTGAAGGGCGTAAACACTGTAATAATTATGGCAACAAAGATGAGGAAAATAGTCTGAATAATGTAAATAGTGTACATAATACCTCATATCAGTAATATAGACAGATACTGAAGGGCCGAAACGTTGTAATAAATATGGCAACAAAGATGAGGACAATAGTCCGAATAATGTAAATAATGTAACAGCATAATACGTCATCTCAAATATAGACAAATACTGAAGGGCAGAAACATTGTAATAAATATGGCAACAAAAATGAGGACAATAGTCCGAATAATGTAAAATAGTGTACATAATACCTCATCTCAGAAATATAGACAGATACTGAAGGGCGTAAACACTGTAATAATTATGGCAACAAAGATGAGGAAAATAGTCTGAATAATGTAAATAGTGTACATAATACCTCATCTCAGAAATATAGACAGATACTGAAGGGCGTAAACACTGTAATAATTATGGCAACAAAGATAAGGAAAATAGTCTGAATAATGTAATTAGTGTACATAATACCCCATCTCAGAAATATAGACAGATACTGAAGGGCCGAAACATTGTAATAAATATGGCAACAAAGATGAGGACAATAGTCCGAATAATGTAAATAGTGTACATAATACCTCATCTCAAAAATATAGACAGATACTGAAGGGCCGAAACATTGTAATAAATATGGCAACAAAGATGAGGACAATAGTCCGAATAATGTAAATAGTGTACATAATACCTCATTTCAGAAATATAGACAGATACTGAAGGGCCGAAACATTGTAAAAAATATGGCAACAAAGATGAGAACAATAGTCCGAATAATGTAAATAGTGTACATAATACCTCATCTCAGAAATATAAACAAATATTTTCCGATTATGTTTGTTGGGCAGTTCCGCCATTTTATTTACATTTAACTATGGCCGCTCTGCATCATTGGTAAGTTTCGTTTTAATTTCTATAAATTTCCTAAGTTTATCGAACTACGTCACAATGAAGATTGTACAGCGGTAAAAATTTCGTGTCGGGGGAAAGAATAGTTAACTGCCTGCATAAAAAAAAATCAATATCTGAAACCATTCTAATGATTACAACTTGAATAACTCGTATAAGACTTAGTAAATAGCTAGAGATATCTTTGTTTGTTTGTTTTTGGAAAGAGAAAGACAAAGAGCGCGTGTGTGTGTGTGGGGGGTAATTTATGATGGCAGTGGGTAGAAAGAGAGAGTGAGAGAGAGGGGGGATATTAAAAGGGTTTTACGTTTCACAGCGTATCTGTTTTTTGGGGTTTTTTTTGTTTGTTTCTATTGCCTTTTCAACCTGCTTTGAGAATGAAAGTGAGAGCTTTAAAACACACACACACACACACACACACACAGAGAGAGAGAGAGAGAGAGAGAGAGAGCAATAGAAAGGATCAAGAAAGAAATAGATCGAAGTGCTGGTTTTTACTGCGCAGTGAAAACCGAAGCCCGTAATGTTCGGTGATGTATCCTTCCGCCAACGGAAATAGTACAGTCAGCGGAAATTAAAACGTCTTCGGCATAGTGAAATGTTGTTTCGTAAGAGTTCCGCTTGCTACAGGTTCTTACTTTTCGGTGTTCGTCTTCGCCGACATGTTGCTTGACACTTTTGCAGGGGGAAAAAAGCAGGTACAGATGCAAATAGAGCGCTACATATTCATACCTATCTATGCCCATATCTAAGCCTGTCTATCTATCTATCTATCTATCTATCTATCTATCTATCTATCTATTTCAGTGTGTTCATTATCTATCTATTAGGTTGGTGCAAAAATAATGACGTAATAATGTCGTTTATTGACGTTAAAAAATACGTCAAAAACGACATTATTACGTCATTATTTTTTCGCCAACCTAATATATATCTTTCTCAGTCTGTTTATATCTATCTATCTATCTATCTATCTATCTATCTATCTATCTATCTATCTATCTATCTATCTATCTCAGCCTGTTATCTATCTATCTATCTATTAGGTTGGTGCAAAAATAATGACGTAATAATGTCGTTTTTGACATATTTTTAATGTCAGAAAACGACATTATTACGTCATTATTTTTGCACCAACCTAATATTTCAGTCTGTTCATTATCTATCTATATATCTATCTCTGTTTATTCATGTCTATCTATCTATCTATCTATCTATCTATCTATCTATCTATCTATCTATCTATCTCAGCCTGTTATCTATCTATCTATCTATCTATCGATCTATCTCAGCCTGTTATCTATCTATCTATCTATCTATCTATCTATCTATCTATCTATCTATCTCTCTATCTATCTCAGCCTGTTATCTATCTATCTATGTTCTTTTCTCTTTTATATCTATCTCAGTCTGTTCATATCTATCTATCTATTTATATATATATATATATATATATATATATATATATATATATCAGTCTGTTCATATCTATCTATCTATCTATCTATCTATCACAGTCTCTTCATTATTGATCTATCAATCGTTTGATCTAAATTTCATCATTATCTATCTATCTATCTATCTATCTATTTCAGTCTGTTCATTATCTATATATATCTTCTTTATTCTGTTCATATCTATCTATCTATCTATCTATCTATCTATCTATCTCAGCCTGTTATCTATCTATCTATCTATCTATCTATCTATCTATCTATCTATCTCAGCCTGTTATCTATCTATCTATGTTCTTTTTCTCTTTTTATATCTATCTCAGTCTGTTCATATCTATCTATCTATCTATCTATTTATATATATATATATATATATATATATATATATATATATATATATATATATCAGTCTGTTCATATCTATCTATCTATCTATCACAGTCTCTTCATTATTGATCTTTCAATCGTTTGATCTAAATTTCATCATTATCTATCTATCTATCTATCTATTTCAGTCTGTTCATTATCTATATATATCTTTCTCAGTCTGTTCATATCTATCTATCTATCTATCTATCTATCTATCTATCTATCTATCTATCTATCCAAGTCTCTCCATTATTGATCTATCAATGGTTTGATCTAGCTCAGTGTCATCATTATCTATCTATCTATCTATCTATCTATCTATCTATCTATCTATCTATCTATCTCATTTCTGTTAATATTTATTTATCTATCTAACAATCTGTTACGTCCCATAGTCTCACAAATCTTAACTCTTGTATACCAATCAACAAAAACCATAATCCAACTAATATCTTCCATACTTATCCAGTACATATAGAATTCAGTTCACTAGTAAATTCCTCGACATACTACAATGCAACAAACCAAATAACACTGCCCCCCTTCCTAGACGTAGAAAACGTAATTACTAATGTCCCAATCAAAGGAACTTTGAATTTTTTTATAAGATGTCAATGTTTATAACTTGAAAATAAATTTGGGAATAATCAAAATTAATTGCGAAAGTCACCCATGAAATAAAAATAATTGTTTGTACGGAAAGTAAGGACCTACGTACATCAAATTGTGCTTAAATTAAGCAGCGACAGAAGAATTATCGTTGAACTTTTAAAAGGTAAGCTTAAATATTAATGCAATACTTAAATGCAGTGATTAATTTTGAGTTCTTCTGTAGTTTATTGTTGCCTATCGCATCTACTCCTCCCTAGCAATTGTGATGGTAGCCAAACCAAGAGACCTCAACAGGAGCTAGCTTAAAGTTTTACCTAGCTTAAAATTTTAAGCTAGCTGCAAATTAAAAACATTCCGGGCCCACAATCCTGAAATTTGGGATTCCTAATTTTTCATTACTACGATTTTTTTTTGACTTTTTTTTTTTTTACGTGATTTTTTTTTTGACAAATTCTTTTGTACGATAACAGTTTCGATAAATTCGGGAACAACCAAAATTAATTGCGAAATTCACCCATGAAATAAAAACAAATGCTTGTACGGAAAGTAAGGACCTACGTACATCAAGTTGTCGTTAAATTAAGTGGCTCGCAGAAGAATCACCGCTGAACTTTTAAAAAGTAAACTTAAATATTAATGGAATTTACTGCTTCCTACTGTGTGTGATGAAGTCCTAATCAAGTGCCCTTCGCAGGAGTTAGTTTAAATGTCGCCCTAAAGGTTACCTCTTAAGTATATTTTTTTTAAATAAATTTCGGAATAATCAAAATTAATTGCGAAAGTCACCCATGAAATAAAAATAATTCTTTATACGGAAAGTAAGGACCTACGTACATCAATTTGTCGTTAAATTAAATGGCGACAGAAGAATTATCGTTTAAAAGGTATGCTTAAATACAAGGTAACCACAAAAGTTCTTAAAGGTAAAAAAGAAAACGCTTCACAGTATGTGTAACTTATATTTAGTCTTCGAAGTAATCGCCATCGGCATCTAGCACCTTCTGCCAGCGTGTCTCCAGCTGTTCAATGCCTTTGCGGTAGAACTCGGCGGGTTTTGACGCAAAGAAGTCCGTGAGGGCTTTGCGCAAATCTGCTTCATTGGTGAAGGATTTCCCACGAAGATGATTATTCAGGGAGTGGAAGAGGTGGTATTCGGATGGCGCAAGGTCAGTTGAATAAGGTGGATGACACAAAGTCTCCCACCCAAGTTGCTGTATGGTATCCCTGACCACTCGCGCGACATGCGGCCTGGTCTTGTCATGGAGGAAAAGCACACCTTTGCGATTCACCAGTGTTGGCTCCTTCTGGCGCAATGCCTGTTGCACACGTTTCAATTGCTGCGAGTATAGATCTCCAGTGACCGTTTGGCCCGTTGGTAGCAGTTCATAATGAACCACTTGACGACCTGTCCACCAGACACAAAGCATAATCTTGCGTGGGGGCATAGGCGGCCTTGCGGTGTGAGAGACAGCATCCTGAGGAGACAACCAATGTCTGGAACGCTTGGGAGTTTCGTACAGAACCCACTTTTCATCACTGGTAAGCACTCGATTGAATAAGGATGCGGTACGGTGGCGAGAAAGCAGCGATACGCAGGCTGCCACTCGTTGTCCCTTGTGGACCTCCAACAGCGTTTGCGGAACCCACTTGCTCAGTTTGTACGTCTTACCTAGGCGATGCAGGTGGAGTCTGTTTCATCGGAAACGTTGAACTGTCTTGCAAGTTCACCACACGTTAGACTACTGTCCTCTTCAATGGCCGCCTTCATTCAAGACCTGTGGTCGTCCACTGCGAGGCTCATCATGGAGAGACAAATCTCCCGACTTTAACTTTCGAAACCAACGCCTTGCAGTACGTTCATCGACAGCACTATCCCCAAACGCTTGACATATGCGGCGACTTGATGCAGCTGCTGATAAGCCCACTTTGAAGTCGTAAAACAAACAACCACGAACGAGATCTCTAGACACTTCCATCCTTCTCACAGCTGTCCGGCTTATAACTGATAGCCAGGCACGGTGCGCGTGTTTTTTATAACGTCTGATGTTCCTACTTCCGGCTGTCCGAATTTGAAAACAATTGCTACACGCATTTCGTATATATTTCAACTTCATTCAATGACTAATCAAAAAACGGACAGAACTTTTTTGGTTACCTTGTATTAATTCAATACTTAAATGCAGCGATAAATTTTGAGTTCTTCTGTAGTTTATTGTTGTCTATCGCATCTATCTTTCCCTACCTATTGTGATGAAGGCCCCAATTAAGTGCCCTCCGTGGCAGCTAGTTTAAATGTCGCCCGATAGGGTAGCTTTTGAGCTAGTTTTTAATAAATACTTCCCTGTTAATTTTCTGATGAGCTTTCACGTTAGTACCCACATTTCATGAATCTAAACGCAGTACTAGGTTGGCGGCTAGGTCTCATCAGTTTACATTCGAAATGGCTAGAGGAAACTGGAAGTTCTATGCTAACAGTTTATTCTCTCGCACTTCTCGCTTGTGGAACTCTTTTCCGGCTTCTTGCTTTACAGTCAGCTTTGATTTTCAAAAAGGTAAATGCAGTGTCAATCGTTATATTCTGATTTCTAAATTCCTGTTCTTTCATTGTCATCTCTCCTTAAAAATGTTTTTTGTTTTTTACAGAAACGGTCGGTGGGAAGTTTTGGCGAGGGTTGTTTTTTATGTTTGCACCTGGATGGCGAACAAAAGGGGAGAAGTATAGCAAAAAAAAAAAAAATAATAAATAAAAAATAATAATAATAATAATGTGTATTGTGTTATAATCCCGAATCTTAAAATCCTGGATTTCGAAATCATGAAATTTAAAATCATGAAATTTGAAATCATGAAATTTGAAATCATGAAATATAAAATCATGAATTTTGAAATCATGAGATTTGAAATCATGAGATTTGAAATCATGAAATTTGAAATCATAAGATTTGAAATCATGAAATTTGAAATCATGTAATTTAAAATCATGAAATTTAAAATCATGAAATTTGAAATCATGTAATTTAAAATCATGAAATTTAAAATCATGAAATTTCAAATCCCGAATATATCAGAATCAGAAAGATCAGTTCTTCTTCGTCTTCTCTGTACCGTATCATTTCAGGATGTCACTGATTACAGCTCTCCACAACTTCCTATCCTTTGTGGCTGAAATAAATATTTGTCTATTTTTTTTTTTTTTTTTTTTTGAGGGCGCCGGTCATAATCGCGAATCTTAAAATCCCAAATGTCAAAACCATGAAATTTAAAATCCCGAATTTATAAAATACCAACAGATCAGAATCCCAAAATTTAAACCAGAATACATGAATAATTTTTAATGAATATATATATATATATATATATATATGCGCAGGCATGAGGTTGTGACATCCGGGTGTTCGCAGACTCATGCCTCTGCTATCGGTGAACATCTATTAAATTCTGGTGTTTGTAGGACCGAGTATTCTCCCCATTATTTTTTTCGGTATTGCACAGGGCTAGGAACAGACTCCACCTCGACATTTTGGGGTCTGTTATTATCAACACACGTAGGCCGGCCCTCTGCGTACAACGGGAAATGAAGTTTAAGTTGGCCTTATTTGGGGGAACGGTTATATGATTTGAGGTAAAATAATTTTTTTTTTTTTTCCCCACACTTACCATCTTGTTTTATTACGGTATTAATAAAAAAAAATTTCTTGTTAGTACCCTGTTTTAGATTACCGACGATTGTGTTTCAAAAATGTATCGGTCGAAAGGTACCTTACATGTTATGTTTTAAACGTGGATACTGTTGTATCTTATATTTTAATATGATCCCATATTTTTTATTCCTCAAATGTCTGATTTGGCAGTACGAGAAATCTGTTTAAATATATATATATATATATATATATATATATATATATATATATATATATATAGTGGCACTCGTTTGGTAAAACCTTGGGTATTTCGGCTTGTAGTTGAACAAACCAATACTCAAGGAAAGATGAGGAATAAAAAAAAAAGAACTAAGAACATGAAATATAGGCGAAAACAATCGTACAGAATTCAAGCTCAGAGTCCAAAAGAAAAACTTCCAAAACGAGTAAAAAGCAACTACGTAAATTACACAAAGCAGAGCAAACCTAATATAAACATAAAGAGGTTTCATCTAAAATGGATCGTTAGGGTAAAACACTCTGACGATCCGTTTAGGTGAAACCTAGGTAGGTTTACCTCGCTCATTAGGTTTATATATATATATATATATATATATATATATATATAATTATTTTTATAAAAAAAATTATAACATAAGTATGTTATAAAATCACTACAAAAAATAGCCATAATTGAATAAACATATATATTTTTTCTTTTCTCAATAATTTTGTAGTTTTTAAACTTAATAGTGATTAAATTTGGATTTTAAAATTGCCAGTTTTTAATTTTAATATTAAATTCTATCATATAATTTTATATTATTGGTTAGTATAAATTATTTTTAATATTACACGTATTTTAAAGATCTGAAAAGCCATTATAGCATGATTTCGTTGTCAAGCTTTTGAATCTTTCTATACTTCGTTTTTGATTGGTTATTCTAGCTTTTGTAACAATGTTTCCCCCTAGTGTAGGATCGTTAATTAATCTGAAACTTTTAAAACTATTTATTTTATCTTCAACATCATCACTTGATAAGACACAGAGTGTGTTGAAACAAAATGGCTATTTTTGTAGTGATTTTATAACATACTTATGTTATAATTTTTTTTTTAAAAAATAATTATATCTGCTCTACTTTGTATTGAGCACTCTTTTAAGAATAGTAATTGTTGGTTATTGGAATTCATTCCGTATATACCAATTATATACTTGGATATATATATATATATATATATATATATACAGAGAGAGAGAGAGAGATGTCAACTTAACAATCAATAAGATACAAGTTTAGAAAAATAAAAAAGATTACTAAATATAAAATGGATGACTTTTTCAATGTACCCTCTATGAGTTTTTCCAATCGACTGTTTCATAGAAAATACCAAAAACTCCAACGAACTTCAAAATAAATTCTTCGTAGATTGTTTAGACATTTAGATTTATATCAAACCTTAACCTCCCAAATATGCACGTTAAAGTAACGCGAATTAACAGCGTCTAAGATTTTGAATGAAACCTGCCCTCGTGGAATGTACTTTATTGGGGTTGTTGTAGCTTCTTCCCTTAATGTCGGTCTTCTCCCTCACCTCTTATCCATCTATATCTAGAGACAATACGCGTTAAGTTTAAGCGACGTCTAGCCTACACACAGTGGGGTTAAGAATAAGAAATTGAAATGGTACATCTAACCCACTCATATCTTATCTCCCACCTCACTTCCTCACTTCGTTAAATTTACATATGCTTGATGCGGTCCGCCAAAAACGTGTGAATTTCTTTTCATTTTTCATTTCAACCTTTGGAAGTAAAGTCTGATGATCCAGAGCCCTGTTAAAGGGGTTGTGGTGAAATAACTTATTACATGGAACCTTAAAGTGGTCTGTTTTTATTCAAACAAATATATATATATATATATATATATATATATATATATATATATATATATATATATAAATGACAATAGCAAAACTGTCATTTACATTTATAAATATTGTCTTTTTCTACAGGTTAATTCTGAGAAATTTTCACACACACACACACACATATATATGTATATACATATATATAAATATCAGTCTGTTCATTATCTACCTATATATCTATCTCAGTCTGTTCATATCTATCTATCTATATATATATCTATCTATCTCAGTCTGTTCATTATCTATATATATATTTATCTCAGTCTGTTCATATCTATCTCTCTATCTATCTCTCTATCTATCTATCTATCTATCTATCTGTCTGTCTATCAATCTATCTCAGTCTGTTCATTATCTATATATATATATTTATCTCAGTCTGTTCATATCTATCTATCTATCTATCTATCTATCTATCTATCTCAGTCTGTTCATATCTATCTATCTCTCTCAGTCTGTTCATATCTATCTATCTATCTATCTCAGTATCTATCTATCTATCTATCTATCTCATCTGTTCATATCTATCTATCTATCTATCTATCTATCTATCTATCTATCTCAGTCTGTTCATATCTATCTATCTATCTATCTATCTAACTCAGTCTGTTCATTATCTATCTATATATTTATCTCAGTCTGTTCATTCATCTATCTATCTATCTATCTATCTATCTATCTATCTATATATATATATATATATATATATATATATATATATATATATATATATATATGAAAAATTTCTGAGTTATCCTGTAGAAAAAGACAATTTTATAAATGTAAAAGACAATAGGAAAACTGTAATATTAGCCGACGCGTTTCGTCCAATGTGGACTTTTTCAAGGCAAAAACGATTCCGTTAATGTACGCCCAGTCCTTTTTTCCTATTTCGCCTTTCCTAACAGAATTACTACTCTCCCAAACAAACGTACACAACTGTATCCAGAAATCAAAAGAAAACGTTTGAATCCATCAACACAACTATAAAAACAATATTTCCACACGTGACAGTACTTGACGTAATTTTCAGTTGACAATATGAATATAATAGCGTTCTCTAAATTCTTCCAGTTGCTATGGACATTTTGTTTTAGTTATTATTAGTTACTTTGTTTTAATTAATTCATTTCGTTTTCGCCTTGAAGAAGTCCACTTGGTAGAATGGAGATCCCCGTGTTTTAGTGGACTCGGCAGTTTTCAATCAGCTTGTCTGAAGCGTCTTCAAGAAGCGAGAGCAAGACCTAAAAGGTCAGCCAATCTAACAGTGATCTCATCTCACAATCCAATCCTCACACTTGCTCCATATGTGGCCTCCTTTGTAAATGACTAGCGGGTCTTAAGTGCCACTTAAGATTATTGCACAAAATTTCATAACTGAATCAATTAAGGTGTCAGATCCTCATACGTCGAAACCGACGGGAGAGCCCATCATATATATATATATATATATATAGATAACTAGACTCGTTTCGAAAAACCCTCGAATTTTTGATTTGCTAATCAAATCAATCTCGAGGGGAAAAAAAGGTTTTAAAAAAAGAAAGAGCTACAAACATGAACTTCTGCCGACAAAAAAATCGCACAGATGCAGGTCTGAAGCCCAAAGAAAAAAACCCGATACGAGTAAACAACTAACTAACAAAAGAGCTCAATACAACCGTAGAGCAGACCTAGATACAACTAGTGAGCCAGACAAACCTACCTAGGTTTCACCTAAACGGATTGTCAAAACTTTCCCTGACGATCCGTTTAGGTGAAACCTAGGTAGGTTTGTCTGGCTCACTAGGTGTATCTATATATATATATATATATATATATATATATGAATAATTTATAATGAGAGATTATGAGCAAGAGACCTAAAATCGTCTAAGATCTGGTCGGTGTACACGATAGTTAACTATATTTTTAAGCTTTTCATCTCGATAAAACACACGTTTATTTTTCTTTTTGGACAAGACTCTCTTCGGACAATGCGTTCAAATTCCTTTTCTACGTGATGCTGCTGTTTTTGAAACTCTCCAATAATTCGATAAACACCGACATTGCCTGCTAAATTTTCCCATCGCCTCTGCCATATTTTTTTCCTTTTTTTTTTTTTTTTTTTTAATGAATTTTGAATGTATAAGCACAATTTAAATGTTATTTTGTAAATATAAAAGTATATTTTGTTTTGTCTTTTTATTTTCTCCCAAAGACTATTTTTTTTTCCGGTATTCTGATCTTTCAGGATTTTAAATTTCCGGATTTTCTGATCTTTCGGGATTTTATAAATTCGGGATTGCGACATTCGTGATTTAAAAATTCGGGATTACGAACGGCGTCCTAAAAAAAAAAAAAAGAAAAAGAAAAAAAAAAAAAAGAAAAGGAAAGGAAAGGATATGAATTTGTGGGGAGAGTCGTAATCGCTGACATCCTGAAAGGAGACGACACACAGAAGACGAAGAAGAATGATTTGAAACGGCGAAAAAGTTACCTATAGATTTGATGCTAGAGGAACTATGGGGTCTGGTGTGGCTTCACAAGTTCTAGCCTACGATATACAGTTCTTGCTAATAGAACTTTGACAGCGCACAATTACAAATTGATGGCAGAACACAGCGTGTTTCCAAAGCAAATTTATGAATGAAGTCGAAAAGGAAAAATCGATCTTTCAGCGGGCCAATGCGGATCGCCATTCTACAGTGACAACTTTTTTTTGGTACCTCTGTTTTCATCTGGAATGAAGCGGCCTGCCTTGTCCCCATAGAAATGGTTTGACGAATAAAGACAAGAATTCCATTCTTGGAGATCTGAGGCAGGCTGCCGTGGAGAATTGGCAGAAAAACCCTCAATCTACGCTTCTTTTTTTCTATTTTCTTTTTTAAATTTGCAAATTCGAAATGCTTCGTTTTTCATCGGAGGTTTGTTTGTTTAGCGGCATATCAACTCCTTATGGGTCATTTAGTGCCGAAATTTAATTTGTCTTGGGGGGGGGGAGTATTAGTAATTTCTTTTACAAAAAAATGTATTACTGGTAACTTTTTTTAATGTATTTTTATACTTTCATAGTGTTTTGACCCCAGTTTTAGAGCATGGGTTAACTTAGCCGGGACCTTAACAGGTGCTACCACCGCGGGTCAGGGTGAACCTAGGAACAACAGCAATTATGATGTGGTTCCGCGCTTCTCAAAACATCCCGACCCCGAGGCCTTGCTGCCGGATGTAGTTTAACATCAGACCCAGAACTTTGAATGTTTCGTTTTTTTTGATAAATTCGTCTCAGGCTAAAATTTGTTAGTTTGCAAATCTGTCATCATTAGAACAAAACATACAGGACATACAGTTAACGGTGGCGTGATGTGACCCCATGATTGTTTTTTTTTTTTTGTTCGTTTGTTTTTTTTTTTTAATGTTTAGAGCCCATGCCCGTACATATGGCCTCAGGATAAAAATTGCCCAGACGATGTCATCTCTTGAAGCTTTTTTCGGTAATCTGTTATTTAGTCTCATGATCGGATCACCGGCGACTACACCGTCCATCCGCCACCCAGGACCGACATGTCTTACCCCGCAAACATAAGCTTGACTTCTATCAAGATCCGACTTCAAACTATTCGCTATGTTTGTATTTTATAAAACGATACTAACGTGTGAATATTACATACATTCCTACTGGATAAAGATAAGTAAAGCGTCAGTTTTATCAAAATCATGTTTATTTTAAATATATATATATATATTTAATCAACAGCGTATACCGGACCAACTGTACATACGCTAATTTTATATTTCATGTATGATACGACCCTCTTAAAATTAGCTTCATAATGTATACGGTAGATATTAAAATCGACAGGCATTATTGGCTTGGTGCAAAGCTAGTTTACACTGGATTAAATCTGATTGGGAAGATGTTAAGTGACGAGACTCCCTTTTATTCTGAGATTTGAAGGACAAATACGTGTTTGGTGTACGTCCAGTGAAACGAATACTGTCGTGACTGCCAGTGTCATTGTTAAACACGATAAAAAAATCAACTTTTAGGGTGCATTCTCAACAGCAGGAGTTGGTAATATGTATAAAATCAAGAGAATCATAGACCAGCATCAATGCCACCATATTTGACGAATTCTATCACTCACTTGTCTTTGTAAAAATACAAAAATCGATTTTCTATGTGTGCAGCCATTTTTTTTTCCTCGTACCGTAAAAACGTAAAAAAATTCGTCTAACACGTGATCTCGCGTATCACGTGACCCCCAAATTTTCACTTATAAAATATGATTTTTTTATCAAATATCTCGTGTTTAATGTGAATTTCATTTTTTTTTCGAGAGAGACCAAATTACAACAGACTAACCTCTTTTCCTTTATCTCTTTATCCCATCTCCTAGTTAAATCAGTTAAAAAAGTAAAAGAGAACGATAAAAGTATCGTTAGTAACGCTATACTCATTGCGTAAACACGTACGACCATAAAAACCGAAATTTTAAGAACGTTTTTTTTATTTCTGATAATAATTTAAAATATTATAAAATTTTCTAAGCGAAAATTAAAATCTTAATACAAATCATACTCCCAAATTTTTTTTGCCATAATTAAAAGATATTTTTGGCGCGTCAAAATGTTATATATTTTTTTAGTATGGTGTATCGTAAGTGATATTATGGTTATAAGTTCACGTGTTTCAAGGCTTGTTCCCTTTAGAGAAAACTCCTTGACATAAAGCTTCTTCGGCTGCGAGCAATAGTTTCATTTCATTTCCGTGTTCCATCATCCCTATGTTTCAACAGGCTTCTTTTTAAATCTTGAAGTGAAGGGATAATTTCTAAAAATTTTTTTTTCATATTTTACTAGATATTCTTAATTTTATTATGCATTCATCTTACTTAGTGTGTATACTTTTCATAGTGTGTATCATGCATAATTTGTTTTATTTATTAGTTTTTACTTAGTTAAGAAAAATAATTTAATTTGTTTTTAGTTTATTTTAAGTTTCATTCTTTTTTGCGAGTTAAATAAAATAACTTTAACAATTCATAACCATCAAAGTATAGCAATTAATAATAATAAAGAATATAAATTAATATTAAAGAATCTACTATCTATATTTCTCATGTTGTCTGTCTGTGTGTCTGTCGTGGGCGTTGTTACCTCGCCCAGGCCGCATTTCTCACCCGATTTCGATGCGGTTTTCAACACAAGTTTGCAAATGGCTGCCTTAAGGACATGACGGAACCCGATTTTTGAGTTCGGAATCAGGTTCCGAAAAAATCGATAATCGAAAAAATTCTGCTTACAGAAGGAATGATCTCATTTCAACCAAATTTGACACCCTCTTAGAGTCTACCTTTAGAAGTGTTGTCCAGAAGTTTCATGACCACGGACCCCTAAACAGCGCGGAAAATCACTAAAACCCCAAAACCGATACGCCCAGATTGCGTCTGAACCGCATGTCGGGTTTTAGCGAAACCCGATCGGATTTATGAGGAGGCCATTGGGAGTCATCATGTGAAGTTTCAACTCTGAGCGCCCCGCAAACAGAGTGCAAATGGACAATCGGTCAACCCTTAAAAATGTTTTTTTCCGGTTGGGTATTTCCTAAATGCAGATTA